ATTTACGTTTTATACGCTGATTCCATTGAAACGACACCCAGCAATGTGATTCATTCATTCTAAATCACAAAACTCGCAAAGTTACCAAAACACCCCCAAAACACCCCCTAACCCCCTAACAAACCAGAAACCAGCACCTGCTAGGCCTATCCTAGCATCCCTACTATTATTTCCCTATTTTCCCCGATTTTTATCGCACCTAATACTACCCCAGTACACCCAGTATTGTCCCCCAGTACCCAAATCCCAGCCAAAACCCACCCAATTCATGTATACAGCACCCTACCAGCCTGCTACCCATCTACCCCCACCCCCTACCCATTTTCCTACCCCCCTATCCAGCACCCCAGCACCCCATCCCCGCCCTAGCAACCCCTACCGGGTCCCCAACCTGCCCCTAGAGCCCACCCGGTCACCCAAAAGCCAGCTAACCAGCCGGGCCAAAGCACTACAGGTCGGGCCACATCTAGAATGAACATTCTGGTGCCACACCTTCGAGCACAAAGCAGCCTACCCATTTTTATCCTTTTTGGGACGTTCTGAACCCGGCATTTATCACAGAAAACAAAAATGCGCAATGCAGATATTTGTTGATATCCCAATTGGGCCAGTGCAGCATTGTAATGGCGGCCATTTTCTGGCTCAGTGTGGCAGTGCGTACTTTACGCCAGACATTACAATGGAGCTCGACGTCCTTGCCGCACTTCATTATAATGGCACTACATGGTCTGGTGCGAATTGAGGTGGAGGAGGTGGATGGAGACGCGGAGACGGTGTGCGGATACGCGGAGGATGCGTATACGCGGAGAGGGCGGGTGGAGAGGGCGCGCTAAATAAGGAAATGTGTATACGCAGAAAGGGCGGGTAGAAAAAAACGCACCGATATGCGGATACACAGAAATGTGTATACGCAGAGAGGGAGGGCGCACGGAGAGGGCAGACGCGCGGAGAAGGAGCGCAGAGACACGTTGGGGGTGGAGATGGCGGGTGCGGAGGGGATTGAGGCTGGGGAGGGGGCGTGCGGAGAGGGAGAGGGGGCGTGCGGAGAGGGAGCGCGGATACGCGTATTTGCGGAGAGGGCGCGGAGAGGGCGGATGCGTGGAGGGCGTGTGTTAACACGTTAACGTGTTGAGAGGGTACGCATTGACGTTGACGCGGAGAGGGTGGAAAGGGCGGGCGTAGAAGGGATTGAAGGAGGAGAGGGCGGGCGGAGACGAGTTGAGGGGGTAGAGAGGGTGGGCGGAGACGCGTTAACGCAGAGAGGGTCCGTGTAGACGCGTTAACACATTCAGAGGGTGGGCGCGGAAGGGATTGAGGGCGGAGAGGGCGGGTGGAGACAAGGTAAGGGGGGTGGAGAGGGCAGGCAAAGACGCGGAGAGGGTGGAGGAGGAGCAGGCAGCAATGGAGGAGACAGAGAGAACAGCGGCGGAGGGGCGAAAGACGCGTGGGAGCCGGAACGCTCGCTGGCCTGTGCGTGAGAGCGAACTCCGTCATTTGCCATCCACGAGTACTCACGTGTCTCGTTTCGTCTCTCTCCCTATCTCCTTCACACGCCCGCCTCACTCGTCTATCACACCGCCCTCGTCTGGATCGTCTCTCCCTCGCTCTCGTCAATATGACCCAAAGCTCGTGAAAGCATGCCCGGGGGTGACACATCGTGTTCCCTGGGATGCCATACAGCTTGCTCTGGTACTTTGGCGACCTCTTCGACGTCGACAGGGCTCAAGGGCTCAACACTGACTCAAGGGTCCGTGTTCATGGTCCTGCTCTGTCCCTCCTCTATTCTCATCTTGCTCGATGTTTGTTTATTCCGCAGGTGATTCCGACTCCTCACGGGCTCTCAGTCATAGGCATGTTTTCACTTTTATCTCCATGATGCTGTTATCTTTGCTGATTTTTTCCTGTTGGTTTCCAGGTGTGATCCTGCCCATTCACATGCGGCCACTGTGCAGGCACCCATAATATTTTCTTGTGAGTTCGTGTTCGGTTTCTGCATCACGATGTTGATCGTTGACTGATCCATGTTTTTTTTCTTACGTCCAGCGAGAGCAACGGTGAGTACTTCATGCCCTTTCTCTGTACACATTGGCTAATCACAATCGTTGATGGGTTCAGATGATCCAGCCATGCTTCATACGCGCTTTGATTTGCAGATATCGAGGCACATATACCATGGTGAGTCTGTTTGTCATTTACTAACCTTATTGTGTTTACTCACTCAATTTGTGCAACATTTTCCCACAGATCATCGAACTTTGCACCGGTCTCGCACTATACGCCTGGTACAAACATGTCTATCATCAATTCTTGTACGTATTCCCCTGCGGCTTGACCTTCATGTCGCTGATCAGGTGCTGTCCGTCCTCGTACCTCCAGTTCGAATTCTGATTTTTCAGGCGTTCGGTGCTGGTACTCATCCGAACATATATAAGCCCACGGTTTGTCCCCTTTTTTTTATCCACAGCCCAAACTTCACTCATTTTATGGCTGCATCTGCTTCACCGGCAGGCTCTCAAGAACACTCCAGATCTCCTTCGCCCACACTCTCTGACTCAATACCATCTCTCGTATCTATTACTGACTCTGACGACAACATCAGCGAACTCGACAACCTATCTACATTGTTTCCTTGTACCATCCCGGTTCCTCATCCACACCTACGCTCATCTTCTCGGTCACCCTCTCCGATATCGACCACACCTTCCTCATCTTCTACTTCACCCACACCGTCGGATTCCGGTTCTGACTTCTCTCTACCTGCTCTTGACGACATAGTTGACTTTCGTCCGCTCGGTCCGGCTCTCCCTCACCTCCTACATTTCACGTCTTTGATCTTGCCTTCAATCTCTGTCTCTATCATGATCCACAATGGCAGGGTCTTCGTCAACACATTCGCAATCAGACAAGCGTCCTCGTCGCTCTACCGGCGCTGCTCGAACCTCCAAACGCAACAAGGTTGGACCCGCTGCCCCAACACCCGCTTCCGCAGCTTCCTTTTCTTCCTCATCGAGTGCGCAAGGAGGCTCGCCGGCGGTTCACTCAGCCCAATCCATACCGACGCCGGACTCGACCACTACTTCGACGGGTTCTTCGTCGAAGACAACCGCACAGAAGAAGATGGACAAGTTTAACGAAAAATGGGGGCCGGAGCTGACTACGTTAGAGGATATACTATGTGTGTATCTTTCTTTCTTATTTGTTATCTTAGTTGAAGCTCATAGCTGCTGCAGCGAAGTTTTGAACGGGTGGAAGACAGACGACGCGAAATCTGTTTACAAGAAGTATAAGATGCCGCCGGGGATTGAGGAGGGAGAGGATGGGGTTGTATGGTATACATTCTCATGCACCAAGTGAGGTTCCTTTATGCATGAGCCTTTCAAATTCTGTGCTAATATATTGTAACTTCTCTTCTAGGTGCAAGCATGTCGTCAAGCGGGCTTGCTACGATAATTCAACAAGTAACTTATGGGACCACGTCAATGCCAAACATCCCGAGCTTCCGGTGAACCAAGGAACTGTGACCAATTTTGCTCGTGGCTCGACATACACTCCCGAGAAGCTCCGTCTCTATGAAGTCTTCTGGTGCTGCTCGTCCTCTCGACCGTTCTCAATCGTCACCGATGAATGGCTTTTGAAGATCTTCAGTATGTTCCACCCTGGTTTCAAGGATTGGTCTGAACAGACGATCTCGCGTGATACCCACGAGATCTTTAAGATCGGTCAGAAGAACATCACAAAGGTCATTTGAGTAAGTTTGAGTTTTTTATTCTCTATGATCTATTGATATGTGTATTGACCCAACCTTCACAGGCTACTCCAGGCCGAAAGCACATAGCATTCGATGGCTGGTCCTCCGCAAACGCACTCACATTCATCGGGCTCAATCTCTACATGATCTATAACGGCGAACTCTGCTCCATCCTACTTGATTACGTGCCCATCGAGACTGTGCATACCGGCCGCCAACTCGCAGAGCACATCTATGGTGCTATCAAGACATACGATTTCGAGACCTCCGTAAGTCATAATTTCTCTTTTTTGTCAAAGAGTGATGCTAAATCTTTGATGTAGTTGTTTGGAGGCATTGCCGACAACGCCGCAAACAACTTCACCGCTCTCGATCGTCTCGGCAGAATGCTGCTGGAGAAGTCTCTCCTCAGCCGTACAACTGCTGTGTGTTGCACTTGCCACACGTTCAACTTGGTCATGAAGGTGATTTCTTTTTAATTGTTTAGTGTCAGAAGAGATTCTCATGCGACATGCTTTTCTTTCACCGTAGGCTATCTTCGCCACATTCAACTCGAAGAAGAAGAAGACTGGTGATGGTAAAGGAGAGGATGATGAGGAGGAGGATGGCAATGAAGGTGTCGATGAGTTAGATGCGGAGGAAGACCTCGAAGATAATGAGCAGAGTGAGGAGGAAGATCTCGAGGATGATGAACACGAGTAGGAGAGAGCGACAGATGATGAGTCGGATGATGGAGAGGTTGACGAGGACAGGGAAGAGTACGATGAGATAGAGATGGAGGAGATGCGAGAGCTGATAGAGGACGAGCTCAACCTCGATTGGCGGGTACTGAAGAGCCCATGTCTGGCTATCCAATGCATCAAGCTCATCGCTCGCCGCACACACTTCAGCTCTACCCGTCGACGTGCCCTCAGGCAGTATTGTGTGCAGAAGAAGGTTCCCGAGAAGATTCTACCCCGTGCAGTTGTCACTCGCTGGACGTCACTCACAAACACCATCGCTGTCACACTCCAGATTCGCCCCGCCGTCGCACTCCTCACCAAGAATCCCAAGCACAAGCTTATGCATCTCGCCCTTGACGAGGAGCAGTGGACGTTTCTCGGTCATCTTTATCCCATCGTTGATGTGAGTACTCTCAATTTCTGCTTATCTGGTCATTCTTATATTTGTCTTTTTGTTAGCAATTCTGTCGGGCCATAGTCCACCTCGAGGCTCGTAACCGACCGTTCCTCTATGAAGTCATTCCCAGCATGGACAACCTCATCACCTTCCTGGAGGACAAGGCCAGCGACGAGAACCTTCCCATTGCAATCCGCACTGCCGCCTTCAACGGTCTAAAGATCATGAAGAAGTACTATGCCCTCACTGATGACTCAATTCTTCCGCGCTGTGGCATCAGTAAGTCTTTATATCTCATTCGTTTCTTTGCCTATGCTTATGTTCTTTTGCATTCTAGTATGCCACTAGTGAATGACATGGGTAACCCACGGGTCAAAATATACCTACCCGGACCCGACCCGGCCTGTACCCGGACCCATCGGGTACGGGTTATACGGGTACGGGTAAATGATCTGGGTTTTGGCGGGTCCACGGGTCAAGTACATACCCCGGGTCAATTCCAGGTCTAGTCATTTATACCATTGTAGAGTCTATATGAGCACTCAAATAAAGCGTGTACTTACCACATAACGGTCTATCTGATGTTCTGCATGGCACATGGATGCCAAGTTATCGCAAAATGGGCCAGTGAGTCACATTTGAGTCAAATCGCGGGTAAGAGAAGATGAAGTACATGTAGAAAAATGAACAGGTAGACAAAATTACTTATTCAATTGAATCCCAACCATCCTCGAGTGCCTCCTCCTCACCCTCCACTTCTGGCTGTGTAACGACACCCATAATATCAGAATCTTTGGTCAAACCCATGAGACTCCAAGCACCGACACATAAGAGTGCACGGGTTGTCTGTACAGAGAGCCGGTTACGGACATGAGAGAGAAGAAGTTGACCACGGCTGAAGAGCCGCTCAACGTTGACCGAGGTGGCTAAGACAGAAGTAGTTATCCATTAGCAACGTATAGGATAAATGTGAACTGTAAAAAAACAAAGACATACCCGGAATGCTAAGGTAGTCCAAGGCCATCCGTGACAGCCGAGGAAAGATATCTCGCCGTTCATGCCACCAGAGAAGTGCATCTTCAACTCGTTCGACCAGGAGACTGAGATAGTGATCTACCTCGTGTCGATGAGCTGATGTAGCCGGTGCAGCAAGAGAAGGGAGATTGTCGAAGATGTTGCCGTCTGAAGAAGTAGTCTAAGAAAAGTATATAATGCAAGATTAGCAAAGTAAGCAAGGAGAACTAGAGACAAAACAAAATACTTACTGATGCAGCAGGAAGAGCCGTAGGAGCAGTATTGGCACCATCGGGCATAGGTCTCTGGGCATAAGACCTATCAAACTCATCACGGACAAGTGCCTCGGCATTATCAATCCACGAAGACTCCCAAGAGATGGTCTTGAAGTACTGGAGCTTGTACCGAGGGTGTAACACTATACAAAAAAGAGAAGTAAGCAATCGAGGCATATCAACGTATAGACGGACATAGAGAGCATACCCATTGCTATACGATAATTTTCTGAGTCATCTGTCAAGTTATAGTAGCGGTTGAGAGTCCTCTTGGCAATACCAAGGGCCGCACGGATAGAAAGTCGATACACCGGGTTGAGAGCATTCGAGCTAAAGACAAAGTTGATATGGTCCATGGCAGGGATAACCGCAGCAAGGTTAGGTGAACCTCGAGAGAAGTATAGTGTAGCGTCTTTGAGGACCTATAAGGCATGACAATAAGTGATACTATCAGATAGCATGTGAACGTAGAAGACGAACCTTGAGCTGATCTCGCAGCTGGCCAGCAATAACCCACTCATCCTCTGAAAGTTCGTACTTCCACAGATCCATCTTTCGGTCCTCGGTAATCTCGTTGATAAGAAGGCGGTGCTTGATGGCAAATTCTAACATGTCGAAGGTTGAGTTCCACCGAGTCGAAACATCTCGGGGCATCAACCGAATGGGAAACTCGTTCTTTTCGAGAATTTCGTACCAAACCGGGAGTATAATGGTAGTTGAGTGAATAATAGCGAAGGCAAGCTTGCGAATCTATCAAAAGGAAGATGAGAATATGGTATAGGTAACAGTGAAAAGGGGGTACCTTCACAAGGACTAGACGAATGGGGGCTATACTCTCCTCCAGGTCCTGCTGTTCCTCCTCCGTCAATTCATCCACCTCATCAACCAGTCCATCCACATCATCCTTCGATGCATCATCACCCACCCCATTCTCCGCTACTGTAAGCCTCTCTTCCCAATCCAAATCCCCTGCTAACGCCCTCAACTCCCTCTCAGCCTCATCGAGAGCTGAATTGGCCTTCTTGTTGGGGAGATCGAATTGTTTGAGTAGAGATTTAGCATCAAGATTAACGATGTGAAGGAAACAACGGGTGCGGCTGGCTTCACCATCAAAGGACTCAATCAGTTCTCCGAGCTCTTCGACCATTGTGTTTTTTTGGAGGCATTGTTGGCGGTGACACTGAGCATCTGTGCAAAAACATAGTTAGACTACCATCAATCCGCAAGAAGAACACTAAACTACCTTATCCGCAATTTCAAACTCATCAAGGATCTCAGCAAAAGTGGCAGCAAGATTGATGCCAGAGTGAGACTAGAGGGAAAAAATATTGAGCCAGAGCAGTAAGAAATATAAACAAAGACGAAGAAAGTACCTTGGCGACCTCAACAATATCCAAGATCATCGAGATAGGAGCACCATTATGTTCAAAATGAACAGTGAGAGCGATATAGGCCTTGTGATTTGGAGACGTCCAAGCATCAGTAGCAAAATTGAGGGCCCCGTCATACTCCTAGCATGTTCCAGATAGTCAGCATTATATAATGTAAAATGAGTGTGAGATTGTACGCACCCGTAACATCTTTGCGATGCGCTGACGAGCCTTAGCAAAGACAGCCTTGACATCTCGCGAGACCGTACAATCTGAAGGAATATATGTACCAGGCTGGCCTGTCTTCATCAAACAATGAAAACCATGATTGTTCACAATCTTGAAAGGACGTAGGCTCTCAGAAACCCAGCGTATGAACTCAGCTCTATGGCGAAAGTTAGACTTACTATAGTTTGAACCATGGTAGAGTGACCACTAACCTCGACTGCGTCCATGTATGAGCCCGGTGAGAGTACAGCACCTCACCCTTTCCTTTACGCTCAAATGCTGTCGTGATACTACCATCACGCAGGAAACCTCCCATGATCTTGTTACGGACCTCTGACGCATCCTTCGCCTGATCAGCTGTATTAATAATTTCATCGCCCCAGCACTTCTTCGCATGTTTCCGCAGGTTGGAAGTCGAGTTGTGGTCCTTGGAGTCGAGGAACCGATTGACGATGCGTGACTTGCCCTTGCAAAAGCGGGCATTGCAGCGAAAGGCATGATAACGACGAGTCTTCTCGTACTTGACCTCCGGTGTTGGGTCGAAGAAGGTGTAGATAGGGCGAGTCCAGGTCTTCGCAAGCCGCTCTGGAAGTATAAAGATCAGAAAAAGTTAGTGATGTTCAAGAAAATAGACATGAGTAGTTTCATACCTCGCTCAGCCTCAGACGATTCTGCAGCGCTCTCTGCACCACTATCTTTATCGGTGGCATTGGTCTTCTCCCCGTCTGCCCCATCCTCTCCATCCTCTCCATCATCCTCAACCTCATCCTCGCCATCATCCTCATCATCAAGCTCAATGACCGAGACTCCTCTCTGTCCCGTCTGGCCCCGTCCACGGGTCTTCTTCGACGTTGAAGGAGCCGGTGTGGCTGATGGGGCTCGAGAGTCCTGCGAAGTTGCGCGCGACACGGATGCACTCGAAGGCACAGGCTCTACATGTAGAGTCTGTGCACTGGATGACTTGGACTTCTTCACTTTGGTAGCGTCGGCAGAGGTCCTCGTAGCTGCGCGAGGGCGTTTCTGGCGGGAGCCGGAGTTGACAGATGCACTCATTGTTGACGATGAGGATAAAAAGGGTGATTGTGGGGGTGCTGACTAGTGAATGGATGAAGAGGGAGGTGATGGGGATTTCGTGCAAGATGTAGGGATTGTAGATATCCGAGGAGTCAACGTCAGAGGAGTCAACATCAGAGGAAGAGTCAGACGCAGAAGAAGAATCAGTGTCGGAGGAGTCCGAGTCGGATTTAACGTCGAGTCGATGGTTCTCTTCAAGCTCGGAGACTGGAATAAGGTCGGGGAGCGAGTCGGGGAGTGAGATGCCAGAGAGTGCAGGAGATGTGAATAGAGAGCTGTTCAGGATCGAGAACAAAGAAAGGGCTGGAGAACTGGGGGCAGAAGATACAGATGCTGTTGAGAATGAGGGCATAAGACGAGCTGTAAGCACTGTGAAGAATATGTAGACAAAGATCAGCAGTTTTATATTGCATCGAGAGTGGTGGCACTTGTACCTTGCATACTGATACAAATTGTACAAGTCAGAGCTCCGTAACGGAGCAAAATCGAGCATAGCACCTGCAGAACACATGGATCAAAGCGAGGTCAGCCACGCAGCAGCAGAAACAATAAGGAAATGCACGTACATTGCTCAAAGGATTTGATCGTCGGAAATATTTGTTCTTGAACGAGTCATGTGTGTCCCGCGAATCGAGGATAACAAGCCACAGCTGACCGACCCACATTGAAGCATATGGATGAGCACGATACACGATGCCTGATAAGTGTGGATATCATACCTTCTTGCGTAAATGTGGTTAAGGACAAGTGCTAGAACATGCAATCGCGAGTTGGTGTGAGCTGATAAATAAACCAGAGGAGTACAATGTGTACGTACAATTAAGCACGGAGCTGAAACACGACTACCTCGTTGAAGATACTGCTCAGGTGTATATAAAGGTAGCCATGGTCGGAGGGTCAGCATGCGCAATGTCTAAGGGATAAAGGAAACAAAAAAGGAGGGCTGTTAGCTTGTGTGAGGGCGAGAGTAAGCGAAACACCTGAGCTCCATGTTGCAAGTGTTGATCTCACAAGAGTGAGGCATACAGTCATTCATGACCCTTTGGAACAGGACCTGGCTTTGGGATAAATCGGCGCCGGGCTCCATCCCTTGCATGTAATCTCCCGGAGTTTTGTTCAGATTCTTGGCATAGGTACTGAAAGTCCCATAGAATATTTTGGAGTTTCAATATTGCTCAGGCCATATATAGTACTTCAGTCTTCTCGGAAATCTCATATTTCTGAAACATGCACCCTATCTAGTTTCTTATAGAAGCTCCCGACAAGTGCAGAAACGAGTGCAGACTAGAGGTATAGTATGAGAGTATAGAAATATCACGTCACATATGAACTTACGAGGGGATATGTTGATGTTGACCAGAATATGTGGATTTGGGATGCCAGGAAGTCAAAGAGGATGGTGACAGATTAGCCGTATATGGGAAATCTAGTCACAATGCCTCCCATAGAAGGCTAATCAGCGTGACTGATCGTCACATCCCAAATCCTCATATTCGAGCTGATAAGGAACTTTTCATGCTGATTGGCCTTGCTCTCCTCCTGGCTGGCTGAACTGTCGAAACTTTTTACATGAGACGGTAGACTCAACTGAACAGAATACTTTAGATGAGAAGAATTTTCACGAAAATGTAATGCATCGGTTACCGAGGGCAAATCGCTATGGTCCATCCCAAAGCGGCATGAATGACTGTACGCATTCGGGGCTACCGGTGACCTAAATGTGCCATTCCAAAGGGATACTTCGAATGTTGATGAGAAGAAGTTCACGGCTCACACTTGGACAGAGACACAGCATAAGTACATTACATGTAAAATATGTATTGAGGCAAACACATCAAAGGCGAGCAGAAAATGTAACAGATTGAGTACGTGTGGCGCAAAGCCCCTGTTCTCTCCCAGAACAGTGAATGGCCTTCACCAACTGGGAACGTAGCGAGCGGCGAAGAAGCCGTCTTATATTCATTCGTGAATCTAAAAAGAAGATGTAACAGTATTGAATGAGCACAACTGGGGAGAACACAGACAGGGAAGACTCAAACAGACAGGTAAGACTTACCATGTGGCCCACCTGGACAAACAAGCTCGACCATGCAAGCAGATTGACATGGCCCACCAATGCACATGCATACTCACAGAAGAAAAGAAACAAAAATGGTTACAATAAGAGAGATAAGTCAGTACTGCGATTGAGAAGAAGAAAGTGAACCGACGCACTGTAGGGTATCAAACAATCCCACCGCGATGCAGCCTGTGTGTGCGAGCCAACCTCGACACACCGGACTACCCTCGCCCTCCTCGAAGACTCTCCCCTGCCAAAAAGAAAGAGCTGTAGAGCCTCGAACAGTGGACACAAACGTGTCAAACACCATCCTCGACTCCACACACTCAAAGTCCGGGTCCAGGAAGGAGCTGCAGGCCCGAGAACGGTGGACACAGACGTGTCAAACACCGCCTCGGGTCCGTACGCGCTGATGAGGAGGTCGAAATTGCAGTGGAAGATCGTTGCGCGGATGGTGCGCGAGTGTCGTGGCTCAGATGGTGAGCAGGTAGCGAGTCGTGAGAGACGGAGAGGGGAGAGGGGAGAGGGAAGAGGGGAGAGTCGCGAAGGGAAGCGATGTCGACGAGGGTTTAAAGAGGGGAGGGTGACAGTGGTGCTCTCATGCACAGACCCGCGGGTACGGGTACAGAGCGGCGCGCGGTCAACGTTGCGTGTTCGGAGTTCTCCAGGACGCGTCAGCACGCGCTTGTCGCCTGTCCTCCGCTTTCTCTCCTCGCTTACCGCGCCCCTTTGCTCTCCCCTCACCGCGCCTCGCTCTCTCCTCTCCCCTCTCTCTTGCTCCCTCTCTCGCTCCCTCTCTCGCGCTCTCCTTCAAAGCCCGAACGCGAACGTGATCTGGTTCTCAAGCGCAAAAGGTAAGTTCCTTTTGTTTTCTGCTTGATCTCCTCACTCACCGCGCCCTCTCCCCCTCTCTCCCTCGGAGTCCGAACGTGATCTGATTCCAAAACACAAAAAGTAAGTTTTATTTTCGTTTTTTCCTCATTGCACCTGCTGACGCGTTCCTCTCTGCACTCCTCTCTCGCGCCCCCTCCCCCTCTAAGTCCGAACGTGATCCGATTCCGAAATGTGAAAGGGTATCTTTTTTTTTTCTTTTTCCGTCCTTATTGCACCTACTGACACATTCCTCTTCATCTCATAGACCCGCACTCCCTCCCCCAGGCGCACATCCTCCGTACCGCCCTCCTCGACCTATTCCGAGTGTACAACAGACCGTGCGAGCTTGACACGTCGTGTCCTCGTGCCCAGTCTGTTGTAGCTCCTTCTACCTGTGCACTCAACCTGCACTCTGCGCAGCCGGGCCCCCTTGTGCTGCTCGGATCTGTTCGCATTCTCGTGCGTGTTCTGTTTTGTGTATAGCAGAGCACATAGGCTTGACATGTTGTGTCCCTGTGTCTACTCTGCTGTAGCTCTTTGTTTTTTTTTTTGGTCCGGTCACGCATTTCAACTTGCAATCAATCGGTGTGTTTCTCAATTTTTTGCTGTGATGTACTGACTCAGTATATCTATCTTAACTTGTAGCATCTCCACATGGCTCAGCCATCAACATCAATCATTGTGTCCAGCTCGATGACCCCTGCCCGTCTCTCATTCTGTAAGTCTTTTCCATCTAGTGATTTTATCTGTATTTGTCCGTGTATTGTGCTAACAGCTCATTTGTATAGTACCGGCCGCGCACTGGTGGCTCGGTGCCCAAAACCTTGTCGAGCAGAACTCGGCTCACCCAACAAAAAGTTCCACAGAACGTAAACGTCTTCGTGAGAGGCTTGCGCTCCTTCGTGGCTGGCTCGACCTTCGCGTCTTCGTTTATTGGAAGCGTCAAGACAAATCTGGATACTCCGTCCCGTGTATCCCGGGGGAGGAGTATGAGCTGGTGAAACAGTGCGCTCTGGTTTTACATGAGCCTCGCATTGGTCAAGGGATGTTCAAGCTGTGGCTTCCCCCCACAGACTCTCCCTTCTCGGAGCCTGCCCCCGATCCTCCAGTTCCAGCCCACCTTCGATACCCTTCCCGACCTTCTGCAATGTGCATCGGTCGCATTCCCTCTACTACCGAAGTCAGTTACCTGGGCTATTGCGACTGGTCCCAGTGTGTCACTATCCTCGCGTGCAACATGACTTGGTTCCCTTCGCCACCTCCGCAGACTCCGGTCTCTGTCTACGAAGATGGATATTGGGGGCCGTACGAATACACCCTCACTCCCCAGCCATTTAACCGACATGCCCCTTGGCTTATCTACATTCCTCTTCGCCATCCTATTTTCCGTCTCGAACTCTTCCATCATTGACGTAAACAATTTTGGACGTCCGTCATCTGTGAAGTCACTCGAGATGGAAAGAAAGTTCTCCATACCACCAATCTGCAGACTCTGCGCCCGGAGCTCTACCAAGAGATCTCGAGGACGTGCTTCCGCCTCTGCCACGAAGTCCGCGACCTCCTCCCTTTGGTCCTCACCCTCCGCAACCATCTTAATCAAGTTGTCAACGACGAAGACTTACCCCGTGGTTTACTCACTCGGACGCTGGCGGCTGTTGGGCATCTGGAACGGGGTGTTCTGGGGTGGAAGGATTTTCTCTTCACAGTTCGTACTGTGTCACGATGTGGCCTCGAACTACATGCATTCCTTTCTTGGGCTTGTGATGTCCGGGTCTACCCCAACACCGGCACCCCGGGGCAAGAAAATGTCAGAGGCGCAATATTCGAAGACGGTGACTTCGACATCTTCCTCACTTTTGCGAAGGCCAGCAATCCCGTATACCTTCGCTTGGAGGAGCGGCCTGTTCCTCCCGGTCACTGGCGGTGCTTTGGTCCATCAGATTCTCGTTCTGTCAAGAGTGGTCCTGTTGAGTATGGACAAGGTATCTTCTATTTTTCCATATTCTATATTGTATTCATGCTGATAGTTTCATTTCGAAGGTGATAGGCAGAGCATGGAGGCTTTCTACTACCCTCCACCCGGTTCTGAAGGCCTTACCTTTGAGCGCGAGGCTCGAGGTATGCATTCACTGAGTGTCGCTGCTGCAGTGGCTCCTTATTTTGCCGCACATGTTGCTCGTCAAGAGAAACGTGAAAAGGCTAGAGAGCAATGGAAAGCTGCTCATACGTGTAATTTTCTTTCTCTTTCTCTTCCCCCACTGATTAAATTGGACCTAGGTGCCCAAGAAGCCTTCGGACGTTATCAGTATAGGGCCTTGGCAGGTCAATTTTCAACACAACTCTTTCCGTTCCTCAATACCGACCGTCCATCTTGGTTCCCTGCACCTCATCCTGTCTTCGAGCGTGCCTGGGAGCGTGTCTACTCCCAATCGCTCAAACCCAACACAGACGTTGTTCGCACATTTGCCCCTCCGTTCGAAATCCTCCTCAACGGTGACGAGGAGACCCTTGCTCTGCGACGTCTGGCGTATACGTACCTTTACCCTACGCTATGTGCCCGCCGCACGCTGGCTTTGCGGGATCTAGCAGTCTGTCCGTTGTCGAAGCACGAGTGGCGCCAAGTCACAACAGGTGCTACAGTGGCGCACAAAAAGAATGCAGGTGGCACTGTGGCCCCGACCATGATCCGATTTTTTTTCAGTCATGCTATGTGATCTTGCTCGGTCTTTTGCATCATAAAATAGGCCTATATGTGGTGTCTTCGGAATGTGCAAGTTCTGTGTGAATAGCTATAAATATAGTTGTAGAATGCCAGATTTGAATATAATCGATGATATTCTGATATTTTTGTTTGCACTTGGAAGACCTCATCAAATCAGATGAACCAAAGTATCTACATGCTATTGAGAAGGTATATTACAAGATTGGGTATGCAACTGGACAGTACGAAATTCNGGTGTGATTCTGGCTA